CCAACAAACCCCCATAGACCCCCCCCCAGGCCCCCACAACCCCGCAGACCCCCACAACGCCCGTCCCCCCGCAGTGAGCTGTACTTCACCCCCCCCGACACGCTGAAGCCCCTCCCCATCCGCGCCGTGGGCGCCGCCTCCATCGGCCGCCTGCTGTCGGTGCGCGGCGTCGTGAGCCGCGTCAGCGCCGTCAAACCGCGCATGGAGGTGGCGACCTACAGCTGTGACCGCTGCGGGGCAGAGACCTTCCAGCCCGTGGGTGGGGGTTGTGGGGTCGGGGCGGTTATTGGGGTTAATGGGGTCCTGGGGTCGGTTGGGGTTGTGGGGTTATTGGGGTTGTGGGGTTGGTGGGGGTTATTGGGGGGGTTGGTGGGGCTTATTGGGGTGGTGGGGTGGGGGTTCAGGGATTGTTTGGCGTTGTGGGGTTGGTTGGGGTTGTGGAGTTATGGGGTGCAGGTTAAGGGATTGGTTGGCGTTGTGGAATTGGTTGGGGTTATTGGGGTTGTGGAGTTACGAGGTGGAGGTTAATGGGTTTGTTGGCGTTGTGGGGTTATTGGGGTTGTGGGGTTGGTGCGGTGGGGTTTAAGGGATTGGTTGGTGTTGTGGAGTTGGTTGGGGTTATTGGGGTTGTGGGGTTGGTGGGGTCGGTTGGGGTCGTGGGGTTGGTTGGGGTTGTTGGGGTTGTGGAGTTATGGGGTGGGGGCTAAGTGGTTGGTTGGGGTTATGGGGTTGGTTGGGGTTATTGGGGTTGTGGAGTTATGGGGTGTGGGTTAAGGGATTGGTTGGCGTTGTGGAGTTGGTTGGGGTTATTGGGGTTGTGGAGGTTAATGGGTTGGTTGGCGTTGTGGGGTTATTGGGGTTGTGGGGTTGGTTGGGGTTGTGGGGTGAGGGGTTATGGGGTGAGGGGCTGAGACCTTCCAGCCTGTGGGTTGAGGAGTTATGGGTTGTGGGGTTATGGGGTCGCGAGGATGGGTTGTAGGGCGGTTGGGTCGTAGGGCTGCACAGCGGTGGGGTTGGGCTGCGGGTCTGAGGTTGGCGTCGAGTCCCTGCAGCCCGCAGCCCCCCCACCCCCATTTTGATCCCCCCCAGATCCAGGCGCCCACCTTCACCCCGTTGCTGCTCTGCCCCAGCCGCGACTGCGCCACCAACCGGGCCGGCGGCCGCCTGCAGCTGCAGAGCCGGGGCTCCAAGTTCATCAAGTTCCAGGAGCTGCGGCTGCAGGAACACGTGGGTGCCCCATAACGGCCCCATAACAACCGCGTAATGACCCCATAAAGGCCGTAATGGGGTGGGGGAGGTCTGATAATCTGCCGTCCCACTTCGGTGCCCATAAACGCAGTGCGGGCCCTATAGACACCATGGGGAACCTGGAGACTCAGTGGGTGCCCCATAGACCCAACAGGGATCTCAGGCCTAATGGGGTCCCCATAGGCTCAATGGAGACCCCATAGATCCCATGGGGACCCAACGAGGACCCCAGAGGGACCCCACAGTGACCCCACAGTCCCCCTGCTGACCCCACTGTCCCGCAGTCAGACCAGGTCCCCATAGGACGCCACACTGACCCCATAGGTACCCTGTAGCCCCCTTATAACCCCATAGTGACCCCCTATTCCCCGTCATCCCCCGCTGACCCCTCTGTCTGTCCGTCTGTCCGTCCCGCAGTCGGACCAGGTTCCCGTTGGCCGCCTGCCCCGCTGCCTGCCGGTGGTTCTGCTGGGTGAGAACAGCCGCCTGGTGCAGCCCGGTGACCACGTGGCCGTCAGCGGCGCCTTCCTGCCGGCGCTCAGCAGCGGCTTCCGGCAGCTCACACAGGTGGGGACCAGAACCGACCCGGTACCAACGCAGAGCCGCCCTGTGACCCGCCCCAAAGCCCCCAGAACCAACCCCAGAACTGCCCCAAAGCCCCCAGAACCGCCCCAGTACCATCAGAACTGACCTCACGAACCACCTCCGTTGTCCCCAGAACCACCCCATGAACCATCCCAAAGCCCCCAGAACTGACCCCAGAACCACCTGGTGCCCCCAGAACCGACTCCATGAACCAACCCAGTTCCCCCAGAACCACCCTGCTGCCCCCAGAAGTCCCCCCAAAGCCCCCAG